TTTTTTTTTTTTTGTAATAAAGAAAAATAACATAAAAACAACCCCAAGGTCAAATTCTAGGGTAGCCAACCTCAACAACATCAACTAAACAAAGAAGTTCCACATCAGCAGGACAATTATAAAGGATAACAAAATCAAATGTAGATTGAGCTCCCTTCTTAGCTATGGCATCAAGAACCATATTACTCTCCCTGAAGATATGCCTTAAATGAACGTGAGGAATCATGCTCAAAAGGGCCCTACAATCCAAAATGAGAGTGCTGTGAGGGTGGTAAGGATTAGAAGCAGTAGAAATAAGCTGGAAAGCAACATAACAATTTGTTTCAATAATAATATAATTAAATTGCAAGTTGAAAGCCATTGGAGTCCATCCCTTATAGCCCATAATTCAACAGCTAAGGCCATGGTGAATCCAATATTTCGAGTATATCCACGAACCCACTGGCCTCGCGAGAGTAGAAACAGCCTTCCACAACCGCCCAACCCTAAATTTCCCATCACAGAACCATCCATATTGAGTTTAATCCAGTTTGATGGGGGGTTCCCAAGCAATCAAAAGGGGTTGTTTCATTCTACAAGTATGACAAGATGGTTTGGATGCCCATAACTCCACCGAACGTTCCACAATCAACTCAAATAAAGCATAGGCATTCACTTGCCTTTCCTAGTAAAGGAAAAGATTTCTATTATTCCAAATCATCCAGATAGCAAAACAAAAAACAATAGCCTAAGGTAAACAATGGATATTAGAAGGGGTCATGTTTGTAGCCTGATATTTAAGCCAATCTTTAAAGCTAATGTTCACATCATCCATGTCAAGGATTCCAGGGACAAGCATATTAAAAACAAATATCGACAAAGGGCAACCTTGGAATATGTGATCTAAAGATTCAACAAAATTATTACAAATCCTACAAATAGGATCCTGTACAATACCGAAAGAATGGAAAAGTTCCATAGATTTAATTCCGCCATGATAAAGAAGCCAAATAAAGTTGCAAATTTTTGGCAGTGTAGGAGATTTCCAAATCCACCCCCAATCACTCGATAAGCAAATAGATCTCGAATTGAGGATTTTGAGTGCAGAAGCAAAAGAAAAAAGACCATTAGCCTCCCTTTTCCAAGAAAAGATGTAAGGAAGATGGTAATAAATAGATAGAGGAGTAGCCTTAAAAGTGTTAACAATATTTAAATCCAAGTGATACCCAATAACATCCATATCCACAACACCCTCATGGATAGCTTGGGCTAAAGTAGTAGAAGCAATGTTGGGAGAGAATGGACCATAAAAGATGGAGTTAAGAGGGGCATGGCTAGTCCAGTGATCAGACCAAAATGAAATAGATTGGCCATCTCGACGAGTGCATTTGATACCTTCTTTCAAGAGGTTAACCCCTTTAGATAAGTTTTTAATCATTGGAAATCCAAAAATAGGAATATGAGATTTAGGCCAGAGATTTTGTATTTCTGCACCAGGTCTTCTCTCCAAACTTTTCCTTTTTCTGTATGAAGCCTCCAATTAAGCTTACTCATGGCCACAAGGTTTGCATCTTTAGCACTGCGCAGCCCTAAGCCTCCAAGACTACGAGGTTGGCAGATAGTATGCCAATTAATAAGGTGGATTTTCTTTTTTCCATCAACAGAACCCCAAATAAAATTTCTAGAGATACGATCAATTTCCTTTTGCGCAGAAGATGGAAGCCACATAGCTTGCATATAGAAATTGGGAATAGAAGAAAGCACAGAGAAAACAAAGTAGTCCTACCAGCCATGGAAAAAAATCTGGACTTCCATCCTAAGAGTTTAGCTCTAATTTTATCCAAGAAGAAATTGCAATTATATTTAGAAGCCTTCTTAGTTGAGATAGGGATAACCAAATATTTTCCAAGGTCATTGGTGTATCGAAATCCCAGAAGGGAACTAAGCGAGCCTCTAGTATTTGGATCCACGTTTCTTGAAAATAAAATCCTCGATTTCTCCTTGTTGATTTTCTGAACAGAACGTTCGCAAAAGAAATCAAGGACCTTATTCAAGTACTGACAGTTTTCCCTGGAGGCTTTTCCTACAAAAATCAAATCATTAGCAAAGAATAAATGAGATAAAGTTGGGCTGCTTTTACCTGCTTTGGTATCTTTCCACATACCAGAAGTTATACCAGTAGAGAGTTTAATTGAAAGATATTCCATGCACAAGATGAAGATGTAAGGGGAGATAGGATCCTTTTGATGGATGCCTCTAGACGGGGTAAAAGACTTAGTTTTATCTCCATTGACCAAGATAGAGATTTTAGTAGAGGAGACACAACTCATAATAAGAGAGATAATATTTGCAAGAAATTTGAAGAACAATAATGTCTCCCTAATAAAACTCCATTCGAGTCTATCATAGGCTTTTTCAAGGCCAAGTTTGATAATCATATCTCCCTTTTGACCTTTTTTCTTAGAAAAGGAATAACACCAATTCTTGCAAGATGATCACATTATCAGTCCCTTGCCTGCCCGAAACAAAGCTTGCTTGGCAGGGAGAAATTAAAGAGTCAAGAAGAGGTTTCATTCTATTCACCAAGATTTTGGAGATGATCTTGTAAGTTGTATTGCATAATCCAATAGGATGAAACTGTTGAACTGTCTCAGGACTTTTAGTTTTAGGAATAAGAGAAATAAGACAATCATTCCAATCAGCAGGAATGGAAGCCAAGGAGAATGCTTGAGTGATATCAACACAAACAATCTCCTTAATTGACTCCCACAATTTTTGAAAGAAAACAGGATGCAGTCCACCAGGTCTAGGAGTTTTAAAAGGTTTAAGACAAAAGATAGCATCTTTAATCTCTTAAACATCAAGGATATCCTCCAACCCAGAAAGATCAAGAGAATCAGAAGAATTAACAACCAAGTCAGCAAAGGAATCATGGAAGGAATAGACAAGAGAAGACAAGAACAGCTACATAAAATGATTCCTAACAAGATCGGCAACCCCTTGAGGGTTGGTGATCCATTCCTCACCAGAAATACGGAGGCAATGGATGCGATTATGATTTCGATGTTTGATAGTAAAAAGATCAAAGAATTTCGAATTCTTGTCACCATCCACAATCCAATTAGACCGCGATTTCATAAGCCACAAATCTTCTTCCATCTTCAAGATACATTGGCACTCTTTAACCAGATGTTTTTCAAGGTCAATAAAAAAATCAAAGTGGTGATTAGATAAAGCTCGTTGAATACCCTGAAGCCTTGCATTAATCTCCCTTTTGTTGGAGAAGATATTATCAAAGGTAACTTTACTCCAACTCTTACAGATGATTTGAGTAAGGTTAATACATTGGGAAGTACTAGAATTAGGTTGGGACCAAATAGGATTAATAACATCCTGAAAGTCATGATGGTCTAGCTAGAATTTCTCAAGTCTAAAAGGTTTATCCCCAATCCTAGAGATAGGAGGATTAAATTGTAGAAGAAGAGGATTATGATCTGAGCTTATACGAGGGAGATGAAGGATATTAGCTTCAGGTAAAAAGGTGCACCAAGCTGGGTTAACCCAAGCACAATCTAATTGTTCCCGAATGAGAATGCCCATCTTTTATTTGGCAAATTGGTGGGCTTAGAAGTGATTTTTTGAAAGATTTTTAAGGTAAAGCTTCTTTTCTCTCTCTCTTCAAACCCATTTCTCCTTTGATAAACCTTGAAGCTTTTGTGGTTGTTTTTGGTTGAAAGAGGCCAGATTTAGTCTTCTAATGGAGTTTTTCATCTTCTTTTTCCATTTGCTATGGATTTGGGGATGAAAGTTTAGAAGATTTTTGGGTTGAAATTTTGGACTTTCTTCACCCGTCCATGTTGCACAATGCATCTCCATCCTGATATTTTCTTTTTCTAGTACATGAGATGATGAACTATACAACAAGGCTAGTCCTTCCCTTCTCAAACCCCACCCCACTCAGCCCAAGATTCAACCTTAAGATCTTCAATATAGCACTACAAGAAAACTTAGTTTCACCGACCAAATATCACCGAGGTAAGAAGGTTTCTCGATGAAGCATCCATTTACCGACAAGAATCAAGTCTGCAACTTGAGAAACAGTAGAAACTCAAGTAAGATATATTATTTAGCCTACAGACATAACACTTGTCGGTAATTTAAGATAATACATACGTGTCACTCGTCAGTAAATGCAGTTTTTACTCCGGCTAGTGGGAGAAGGACGGAAACCCATATCACCGATGAGGAGAATGCCTGCAAATTCAAATTTGGAACGAAAGCCTCGTCGGTGATTTGGGATCGATTTCCAACGTGCACCTTCTCGGTAATTTCCACTCCCAATGCACCCGCCCCGCCAACCAGCTGGCCGCCAGCGGCAGGCAGTGCAGCTTTTTGCTCAATTGCCGACATAAGCCTTGTCGGTAATTGGGCATTCAGCAACTCCCCGCGAATCCGGCTGCTGGCCGGTGGCGTTGCAGCTTTTTTTTCATTACC